TGATGCAAAGAGAAATATAACCAACAACATCAGGTCCAATTTTTATTAAACTGATACTACCACCGATGCTGACATAACCTACTCCACAGTTTTAAAGTCTGCCATCCGGTGATGATTCCAAAATACATTACAAATGGTTTTTCAATCATATTCTATCTTAACATGTACTGTTTGTAATATCAGGGATCACAGTGGAAATCCAGTAATTCTGATCAACAAAATGTTTCCGAAACAATTATGGCACTCAAAACCTCTAGAAATAACGACGATGAAGTACTGTGGAAATAAACTTTATACAAAAAAAGAAAAAAATTGAATATCATGCGAGTAAATACCAGACAAAGAAATGGACAATGAACCAATTAAGGTTGCCTCATTTAAAGAAACTAAAATGTTCAACCATGAAATACAATTTGTTAAATCCTCAATGCCGCCACTTACAAACGTAGTCGTGACCCGATAACGTAATGAAAAACTAAATTCGATTGGGTTAATTACCAAAAGCACTGAGGATGTTTTTGATAAAAAAAAATGCAGCGAAATAACATTTCACTCCGCACTAAGTTCAATGTGAAAAGTTATACAGTCCGATAAAAACTGCAAAAAGGGAAATGTCTGAACTAGGAATATCAAATTAATTGATAAGTTTGAAAAAAAAAATGAGATAAACAGTATTAAACAGTTAACTAACCAACAGAAAGGTACGGATTAAAAAACAAAAAGGTACCTAGAAATCCAATAATTACAACGAAGTTATTTTACTTTTATAAGGATACAAATCGGATTATTTCAAATAACTAAGATTTAAGCTAACTCAATTTATTAAATTTTTGGAGGCAGTCAACAGTAGAAATATTATGAAATGTGCTGCAGCTGGTCTACCAAATCAGGATATAAGTGCATTATCAATAAGATCAGAATTTATTTCCAGAACAGAAGCACATCAGTGTAATGCAAAAGTTTAACCAAATACAAATATTGATAATAGTACATTTGTATTATCTCAGAAACGATGCAATGGCTACAGCAGTGCACGGTTGTTGTCATTCAAAATACAACCCTTCCTTCAGCCAATAACCAATAAACAATAGAAAATGTCTAATGAATCCCGATGAAACTTTATCTGATAGCAGCTCGTCGTACACGCTTTCGAAGTGGTGGTCGATTATCATTTACCAAAACATTACCAGAACCCGTCGAACTGCTTTCGTCGCTACCGCTGAAACTAAAATCTCCAGGATTTGCAACACCATCACCAACCAAGACTGATTCCAAAAGATCATTTGCCAACTCTGATCTTTCTCTCTTCATCTGCTTCCATTCTGCCGAACGTAGGACATCTCGGTGATGAAGTGACATATATTTTGTGCATGCCTGTAAAGAAATAATAATTTGCTTAATCTTAAAAATCGCATATTTTTTTAACAGAAATTAGAAGTGTTTTTCACTTGAAAATAACTGTAAATAGCAAATTTTATATGAAATAGTTGGTGACACAAAATCTCCGGGACATTATTAAAAATAAATGCTAGTTTGAAAATAATTTCAAATATCAGTTGTAACCTGTTTAAGTATCGAAGCCGAATAAGTATCAGCAAATACTGCTGTAGACGCAACATTTTTACAGTTAATAGTAGTTGAGAGATATCGCTCGCACTGCTCCTTAAGAGGCAGAATGGCATATTTGTCAGCTATCGCCAAAACATCTTCAGCATAGCCTTCCACAAGATCTGTCGAACCTGTGTATATGTAGTCTACCATAGCTCTCACCTTAAAACTTGATATGATTTTGACACAATAAAATCTTTGACTGAGACACTGCCATAATACATAATGAGTCACCATTACTTACAGGTTCAAACCTTGAATCCTGAATATCAATAATCCCTTTCTGAGCTTCCAACATTGATTCCTGGGCAAACATTGAACGGAACACCTCGCTATGCTGTCCCAATATACACCGATGAGCTTTAAGCGTTTTATTACCGACCTGCAATTCATTATAAATTATAATATCACAAAGTATCTACAACAACTAGAAATGTTTTAGAATCTAACCGTCTAAATAATAAAATACAAAATCAACTACTTCAATTATAAAGTAAGACAAGCAGGCGTACCTTTATGGTGCAATCTGCAAACAGCTCACTATCCAGCATGTCTTTAAGGGAATCTCGTATAGAAACTTCGTTCTTTTCATCGAAATCATCTAAAGGCTCTGCTTCCACTGCTTGTTCAACGCTAATTTTTGATCCAGGCGGAAAATATTCGACTTCGCAAATTAGAAGTAAAGCTCCATCTGCCTTTAATGCTGCCATCATCTTATCTCGCGAAACCTAAGAATATATAGATTACCAATTTTTAAGCCGACAATTTTTGATTTCTAATAAATTCATTCCAATATCCATATCCAGAACAAGAAACTAAATTTCTGCTTCCTCTTCATCGTAAATTTGAATCGTCAAAGTTTCTACTGCGTAACAAACCTGGAACTTTCCGCGACCTTGCTGATTGGTAAAATCTTTCGTATCTCTACATACGCTAACCCTTAATGAATTCGCATCCAACGCATAAATTTGAAACTCCGTCATTATGGGATCTTCACCACGCTGAAAAATGAAAAAATTTCTACAAGATTTAGCATATTTCCTCGTGACTAGAGCAGATTCCCAATAAAACCACAGTGCTATTTACCTGCAAGCCTACTTGTCGCAAAAAGAAAGAAACATTGCCAACATCCTCCTCTCGTTTTCCGTTAGGGTAAACATGTAGTTCCCAAGTGACTGTAGGTGCTTGTGGACATCCAAACTGTTTACTGATTAAATTATGCCCATTTTTGAACAATTTCATTAGCTTTTCGAACTGAAAGGATACCAAACCAGATTTAACCAATGAATGATGAAATTTGTAAGCTTATGATTTGTATTGCGAAATAAGAAACACTTCAGAATACAGAGACGTAAAAACAACATAACACTAATATCACCTGGTCAATCTTCCACTCCAAGCGAGTAGAGATTGCAGTAACCTTGGTTGCCTGCTTCGAAACCACTTCAAGACGTCGTGGCTGTTGTGGTGATACATCTTCAGCTGACACTCAACCATCAAATCACATAATTTTATATTATTCCATAACTTTTATAAGTTTCCGATAAGCTCTATCTGTTAGCTCACACAAAATAAAAAAAATTAAACCTCTATGTGATACTTTCAAAAGAAAACATACAACGTATCGGCGTCCTTAAACCAGAAATCTGTACGGATGCATTCATCCGGTTCGACATAACACGGAAGATGGATAAATGAAAACTGAAACAACCAAATACCACAATATTCTATTAATTGCAATTATTTTTCAACCGATTTAGATATCATACAAATAAAATATACCTAACACTAATCATTTCATTTAAGCGCCAACACAAGTGATCAACAGATTACCAAACTGTTGAAAGCTATTAATGTGTAATAATTATTGCTATGAATTATTTTATTTATAAGTAGTGTTATTTGTTTATCCATGCGACAGCCAAAAGCATCGCTTCTTCTATTTTTATAAGAGTGGAAAGTTTACAAAAGTATAGAGAAGATAAATGAGAATTTTAAAACCTCCACACTTCGTTGATCTTATGATGACAATGCTTCTGCCTTTGATTCTATTTGTCACAGTAATGAGAAAAAAATCTCTAACGTTTAGAAATAAGATTAGAGAAATATGATTCGACCATTAGCAACTGAGAACTGTTATAAATTCCAACAGTATCACTGCTTTTCTCATATCCCTCGAAACTCGAGACTACACTGCTTAATGTAGCGTGCAATACAGGACTCATTTTTTTTTTCAGGAAACTCATTCAATGAAAGTATTTCAAGTATTAAATTAAATTTCTCGTTATTACTGGTCATGAATTCCTCGTTATTACTGGATAGAAAGTTGAAGAAATGTACGGATCAAATCTATAGGAAATTTCTGATTCCTCCTCTCCCAACACTGTTTTACTTCCCGTCACTACATACTGGTCAGGCATATCCACTGCGAATGGCTTTAAGCCATAATCGAGCAGCAACAGATACCATCCATATTCATTGTTAAGAGGAAGCCGATTCTGATGGACACTTAACTAAGCCATTTATTGCAGTTCATTAAATAAGAATCTTCATAATTTCTGACTCTAACAAGTAACCTCCTCTACCACTCCCTAAGCAATCGTGACCTGATGGACACACCCGACTGACCACATCACAACTAACGATCATCAGGGCCTCAAGGATATTCTGCGGTTCCGGATGAACATTTTGAAATAGTTGGTGTCTCAGTGGGAGGTACTGCTTAGCAAGAGATGCCATGGAGAAGAATGGATTGGTTGCTGTTTAGAAGTTCCATAAAAGATGTTTATTCTCGCCTCTGAACGGATTAAAGTAGTTTGATCGGCTGCAAGCTTTCTGCATCTATAGAATGATAGCATCGGTCATTCACACTTCTAACTGAAATTTATTGTAGTTGAAAGAATCTTTGTATTTCATTTACGTGAATATAAAAGTAAACCTTCTGAATCACTACCTTTATCAAATAGTGGACAACAGTTGAAAATTTCAGTAACCTACGTGAGTTGAAAGCGCACAATGAACAGTGGAAGTTGTAAACAAATATAGCTTGTGGGTCATTTGGTTATTTTATTAGAAAAGCTAAAAATGTTTGGCGAAGAAAGAAGAATAACATGAAGGTGAAGATGAAGGTTATAGAATTAACATGGGAAAGAGAGAAGAAAAGTAGTAAGATGTTTAGTCAGTGCAGACAAAATTGAAGACACGATTCCCAGATTATCTTCAAACTTGATGAAGAATCAGAAGGAAGAAGTATTCTCTCTTTAAATGATGAATCATGTTTATCATTTATTATTAGAGCCTTATTATGACAAAATGACAAAATGCCAAACGAGCCAAATGAAACGAGTTATGATGCAACGACAAGGTTCGTGAATGAGTAGCTCTCAGTGTCATCAAATTACAGATTGATGAAGGTCGCTTCTTTGTGTCCCCTCAATATTTTTATCCTGAAAGAAAGCAGTGAGAGTGAAGACAATAATGAACACTGCAAGTACTAACCGTTTTCTATATTTTCAAATCATTCCCATACCTCTTCCTCTTCCTGAGTAATATTGACAGCCATTTGTGTCAGTACCTTTGCTTTCTTCTGTGTTTCCGCAGGCAACTGCAAAATGTCTTTCTTCTCGAATATATGAATGAAAGGAGATGATTTCTGATCTGAAGGAAAGTGATTCGAATGAAAGTATTACCTCATCATCGTCGGAGACAGGCGTCACAATCGGATTCAGGTCCCTCTGCTGTTCCTGTAAGTCATTCTCTGTCCAGTTCATCACAACTTCTTACATTTTATGGAATCACTCCATTGCCCTCCTCCAAGTTTTCGTCTACAGCAAAATCTGAATTTGTCACATACCCTAATCTATGCTTTAGACTTTAGCATAATTTTCACCTCTTCCTTATTGCCTTCTAATTGTTCTATTTTTTCCTTCCTTTCCGTTTGCTTATTTTCCTTCTCTTTCTTGCTTGTTTTTTCATCCTTTTTTCTGCTTTCCTTTTTTTTCTCCTCTTTTTTCTCCTCGTCTTGTTTTACTTCGAGTTTTTCCGCTTCCTCTTCTCTCTTCTTTCTGTTGTCCTTTTCTACCTTGCTGTCGTTTTCCTGAAGTATTGCGGTTGGCTTTGCTGGAGCAGCACTTACCTGGAAACCTAACTGTTATGAGTTAGTAGTATCAAAGCTTGACCGGAAGTTGTCCAGTATTTCCCCACGTGACCGAAAGTGACCACTAGCTTCAAGCAATCCTTCACATACATGGACTAGTTTTTTTCATAATTCAACATAACAATGCATGAAAATTTCGGATGTTTGTAGATTCCATGCTAAAAATCATTGTGGTAATGAGTCGGATTTGCATTGAATTATTTATTGATTCAAAAGAAGTAAACAGTAAAGGATTATTTTTAAGGAATTACTGCTAATTCACCAGATAATTAGCATTATTTTCAATCTTTCAACTTGCCTTTTTCTTTACACAACTGAAGAGACATAGTGTATATAAACATATATGCAAGCACGTAAACAAAACAAATATACTGAAGTACAACTGGAAAGGATTATTGGTGACAAGCGAGTTGCTACAGATGCAAGACACTATCGTATCTTGCACCATTCTTCCTAACCAATAATTTGGCACTGCTATTTGCAATCTCGCAATTTCCGTGAAACAAACAACCGTAGTTAACATATCAAATTATTATCAATGGAGCTGATCATATATTCTAAGCGTACTTATATGATCTCCAACCACTTACATATTTTTAAGCAAATTCAATATCTCTGCAACGAGTCCACAAGTTATGTAACATGTAATTGATTTTAATACTTATCATTTTCAGAGATTCCTTTCCAGAAATCATGTAAATTTCAAATTAATGCGACACGTGACAAAAGCACTTTTGATCATTGAATTTGGGACTTTTAAACAGCTGCAATGGAAATAAATTGAAAAAAAAAAATTTGAAAACAGATTTCCGTCACTTTAAGGTTATAGCCAACTATATAAAAATATTAAACGTTTTATCACAGAAAGTTTTATTTCGCTAAAAAAGTACCTTTTAATTTCCTTCATAACTTTTTATTCTATTGAATCATTGCATCGGAAGTTTTTATGTTTATAAAATTCTAGTGCGATTTTCACAAATGTAATTCTTCGATTCAAAACTGTGTCTAATGGTAACTCGATCTTGTTATCAACCAAATGATAATGCTGCTAACAAGTAGTAGTGACCGATGAAATGGAACGATATGATATGATAGTGATTAATAACAAGATGCACACTTCAAAACAGGTGGCATCTTTAAACCAGCTCAAGTAGACAACGATCCATGTTTTTTAGGCTTGTTCAAAGGATGATGATATGTGACATGAGTCGAGAAGATGTCATCAAGGAGTGAACAGTGCAATGAGAAATCAGCATAAGGACTGCAAAGAATGCGTTCAGTGTGGAGGAAACAGCGATCGACAGCACATGGTCCATGCTGGCATAATTGCATAGTGAACCAGTACATGAGCACATTATCACCTGCAAATGATATGCACAAATTTAGTGATGCATAATGTAAGAGTGGAATAAACTGCAAACGCCTCAAAATTGTAATCTATCCTCATCATTTCACTTTCCATATGAATTTTTAGTTTTCTAATTAGCTGGTTTTTGGATAACATATGATAAAATACTCAATGATTTTTAGAGCCTTCCGGATTGTTCCGTTTATTTCAACTCAAAATCAAATTTGGACAGATGTTCACAATACCTTTAAGTCATGCCCTCTTATTTTCTCACTGTTTTATACATCATCATTACTGATAGCTCAATCGATGAAACAATCAAATTGCAAAATGTTTACGAGGTCAGTTTGTGGAGTGAGCGCCACGAGGTGAAGTAAACGTCGATCAGTTGTACGGCATTCTGATTTGTCCGTTAGTGCATCACGGACATCCTCATCAAGACCAAACAATAGAAATCGATTCACGCAACCACGCATCACTGCATGCGTTGAAACTGCAAATTGAATTATATAAATTTGTGAAGACGCAGAACTCTAATTAAATATCGAATCAAGCAAAGCACTAGTTTAAAGAAAATATTAGCTTAACACTTTGCATAGTAAATTAATGCTGAGAAAAGTTTCAATAATTACAATCTTTAAAATGATTATCTGTTGGTGGATTGCAATTTCTATGATAATTTGCTAACTAATTATAATGCATACCAACAATTTCTTCACTAATTTCTATCATCAAAAATAAATGCTTTTATAATGGTAATATGGAAAATAAAAAATGTATTCATATGCTTTCATCTGCTGATTATTCGGTAACGAGAATTTTAAAATATAAGATTAGATTTGGAATTTGAGAAAAAGCTGTTTTTACCAATTTCAATCATGGATTACATCTGGCAGAATGGTTGAAAATCAATAGGTTGAAGTACTTCTCAAGATTAAATTAGCAAAATTCGTTGTGTTAATACAATGTTTCAATTCATTTTTTTGCTCGAATTTCATTGTCACCAAGAAATTCATCGTACAATAAAACTGGACATTTTCAAAAAAAAAAAATTGGTCGCAATATGGAAGCCCTAATATACATTATATATAATGCTGGCCCCGGTTTACAGAATAATTAAATGCCTGATGTCTGTGAAAGTTGATTAGTTATTTCAAAAGTCAAAAGGTTTTAAAAGCATCTGAAAATTATTGACACGTCTACTAAACTTTTATGATTTTCATTTATGAAAAGTAATTTCATCGATTTTAGAAATGAAATTTTTCTTCAAATAAAAAGATTAGGAAAAATTTATTGCAATGCAGTATCACATTTTATAATTTTCATGGAAAAAGAAATTAAAATTAGAGATTACATATAATTAGATTTAGAGATTCCATATAGTGAATCCAGAGTGATAACTCTGTGTTCATGATTTTGAATTTTCGGTACCACTTCAAAATAGTTCGTACTATTTTGTTTCTAAACAAGGCAAAAAAGTGTATAATTAAACACGATCAGTTTTTTGAATGTTTTTTGAATTTGAACATGATTCTCGTCACTCTGGATTATGATTTTGCTTAAATTAATAGGAGGATGTGAAGTGTGGATATGCAAATTAATTTTATGCAAATGGAATGCAATTTTAAGCAAATATTTCAAATCTCATTCAAATTTTGTTATCCGAATAATTTTCAATGCAAAACATTTTTGTTTGTCTTAACAGTTGAAAATTCTTTTTTAAAAAAATAATTTTTAAAGCTGTCTAGACTAACATATGACATGTTCTGAAAGTACATCAGAAGGTAACAGAATACAAGGAATTTGAAGAAGTTTGCACAAAATTTCAAGTTATATCTTCTGGTTTAAAAATTTAATAAACGGCTTTTTTTCATTTGAAGTTTCTCCCAATTCCTGCCTCCTTACAAAATCTTTAGCACGTTAACATCAATACATGATATGCAATATAATTAGAAGCGTAGTTTTCTGTTTTCTTGCAATCTTTGCAAGTAAGTAATTGTTGTTTATATAATATGTAAATACAAATAAATCAACATTCAACTCTCCGAAGAACGAAATACCAATTCATATTGACAGAAACTGTCAAACTATTCTTGGATATTTTAAATATTTCATAACAGGATGCTAGTTATATTGCACAGATTTCACTAAAACAATGAAAGTAAAAAAAATGCTACAATACAGGAAAAACGTCCAAAACCATCTCAGAAAACTAAATTTTTTAGATTGGTTACTTAATAATAAGTCAAATGAACTTTTAACCTTTCCCCAAAACAACTGGAAATGTTGAATGTACAAAAAACTAGGCTAGAGCAGGTCAGTCCAAAGCATAATTTTGATGTAATCAGTCATGTGTAATTTTCAACTAATTGAGAGTCTCTCCTTCTTTTGCATAATGCCAATTTTTGTCGGAAGGAAATCTTTTCTGCACTTTACTGATTAATATGCAAATTTGAAAATTCGTTGATTTTTAGCTAATTTGTATTTCAATGAGCAGAAAAGAAAGGATCCCATAAAAAATTTATTAAAAAGTAAAAAAAATTGCTTTTTTTTTTCTTAGCAAATGTGAGAATTTCTAGCGAAAAATACTAATAAAAGTTACAGAGGAAATGAAGACAAGAATAGAAGAGGAAAAAAGGATTAGGAGAATGCATTGAAAACAATAATTCCTTCCGTTGAATATATTATCAGCCTTTCTTTCCTTTTCTTTAAAAAGTAAAGTATTAAAATATTCTGTACAGGTAAATTGTAAAATGAATATTTCATATTACATAATCTGTCACCTAAATATTTGTTTCTTTCTTCAATAGGCGATATGAAATGACTATACCACTTGCATGTCATATTTGCTTATTGTATGTCTAAAACCTAATCTCTCAAGCAATTTTAACATCAACTATTTAAAGAAACACAAAACGAATCTGAAATTTTATTTCCTCAATTTCACTCTCATGGGGAGAGATGCTGTGGTTTTCGGTATTAATATATTTGTAAAGTGCTATCAAATATAATTGGATTTAGTGAAGAATATATATATATAAGTTAAGGAAGACATCAGCTCAGGTAATATTGTCTTTATCAATGCAATCAGTCTTACTGTTGGTTGCATAATAATAATAAGGATGTTTGTTGTCATTCATCCCTCCTACTCTCGATGTTGTCTCTTGCAGGAGAGCATTAAATGTTTACTTTTTCTAGGTCTTCCTCGATATTTCAGCGGCATCCTAAATGCATGACAGATATCTCTCTCTCTCTCCCTCTACTATTACCACCTGCTAAAAGAAAGATCACATCAAGAAGCACTTATAATATACCGCAATGAATTTGAATTGATGTGGTGAAGATAAAAAAAGTTGGTGCGGAGAAGGAAGGACACTGAGTAATTCCGAGTCACACATATAGTCATTAGTCATGCTGTGGTCAGATAAGGAGCCGAACCTTCTCCTTAGAGCAATGCGACATTTGGCACGAAAGACACAAGAAAGTCAAATTTGTTGGGAAGTAGAAGGCCTTGCATCGTTGAATATTGTTTATAAGCGTGAATAGGAGTAACAATTTGGTTTTCAGGTCCTGTCGCACTTAAGTGGCGCAAGTTAACTTGGAATTAATGCATGCATCTGAACTGTCTGTTCGGCATATAAGCATTGATGGAATTTTGATTTTTTTAAACTGATAATGGAAATAATGATATAGAGCAATTTTAATTTACAATAAAAATTTATTTTTAAATATGCCCACAGCATTCCAGTAAGTCGAGCAGTTCTCAGCAAAGGAATTTCAAGAAGGGAAGTTCATTAAACTATGCTTGAAAAACTTACAATGTTCGAAGATTTCCTCGACCAAAATAAAACAGGAACCGCGGCATGGTACAGTGCCGATTTCGGAATCTGGTCCCCAACAACGATCGGTGAAATTTTTGGGTGGGAAATAGTGATGCATGAGTTGATTCCATAGACTGAGATATGCGGGAGAAGCACAGCTGAAGCAAACTGACAAGCGAGATGTCTCGGGATCAGATGATGACACTAACAGTGATGACGGGGACAATGATGTTGACAGTATGATGACGGATTGATAAACAGTGATTAGCAGTAAATAAAAAAGGTATCTCGATTGGCCACAAATTTCAAATCTGCACATTACACACTAACCAGCTTACGCAGCTTTTATCGCAG